CACACACACACACACACACACACACACACACTGATAGGGATCAGAGCAGTGAGAGATGAGTAAATCAGCAATACCTTGAGCCCGCGCGATCAACACTGATGTCAGAATCAGCACCAGCAGCCCTCGAACCCGCATCCTCTCAGCTGCTCACACACGCGCACACACTTCAGTAAGGCAGCACTCAGCTCAAAGCGCAAGTTCAGCGCTCACACACACACACACACACAGACACACACACACACTCTACAGTGCAGTACAGGACACGCTGCAGCATGGAGTCCGCCGTGCGCGAGTTCTCTGGGTCAGTGGAGGCTCTTCTGCTCTGTCGGACGGGGAACCCCTCACCTGCTGCTGCTCGCGGAGAACAACACAACTCGCTGGAGGAGCTGTGCGCGCGCTCGGTGCGGGTGTCCGTTGTGTGTCGCGCGCACAGTGAACGCGCGAATCTTCAGAAGGCGCGAACGAGTTCCCGCCTTTTAATTAAACTTCTGACAGAGGTATGAGGTGCGTCTCATCTCACACACTGTCTGCTCGAGAGGACGGTGTTGAACGCTGCGGGTGTGTGTGTTAGCTGTCGGCCGTGTGTTTATTTGCAGGAATAAATATATTAGTTGAGCTGCTCGAGCAGAAGAGACGTGAGCAATGAGGAGACTGAAGATCTGACGGACATCTTCAGGTTCCTCCATCACCTGCACACTGGCAGACTACACCCACACCACCCTGATGGAGAACACTCAACCCTCACACCCACACCACCCTGATGGAGAACACTCAACCCTCACACACACACCACCCTGATGGAGAACACTCAACCCTCACACACACACCACCCTGATGAAGAACACTCAACCCTCACACACACACCGCCCTGATGGAGAACACTCAACCCTCACACACACACCACCCTGATGAAGAACACTCAACCCTCACACACACACCACCCTGATGAAGAACACTCAACCCTCACACACACACCACCCTGATGAAGAACACTCAACCCTCACACACACACCACCCTGATGGAGAACACTCAACCCTCACACACACACCACCCTGATGGAGAACACTCAACCCTCACACACACACCGCTCTGTCCACTAAACCACAACACACTCGGGCACCGGGCAGACATCTGCAGCTCTGAGATCAGCCACACACCATGTTTGTACAGTAGTATTGGTGTTCGTGTGTGTGTGTGTGTGTG